CGCGGGGCGGGGCCGCGGCGCCTATAAAATCTCCCTCCTCCGGGACATAAACAAACCTCGCCTGGCTCTCGGCTTGGTCTCCGGAGTGCGCGCACGCCCATCCTCGCGGTTCCTCTCTGTTCTCGCCTGGCACCGCCAGCCTCGCTCCAGCGCCTGTTGCCTCTCCCTCTCCCTTGGGTAAGCCCATGCCCTCCTCTCGCCGGGCAGAGGGGGTCTGTCGCCTGTGGGCGCTGCTGCAGCCCCCGGACCGAGCTTTGTGGTTCCAGGAGCTGCGAGTGCGCGGCGACCCCGGGCGCGGGTGTGTGGAGGGCTTTGGGGTGCGCGCACCTCCGGAGCGGGAGGCTTCGACTAGGGAAGAGGAGGAAAAAAGACGAGTCCTCGCGCTTCTTTCCTGTAGCTGGGGATGCGGGGTCCTGGGGGTCGGGGAGAGCCGGCGGGGAACACCTGGATCCCCCTTCCCAAGGTTCTCCCAGAACCACCGCTGGCCGCGCTGAAGTGGGAGCAGGAGGAGGGCCTGGGGGGTGTGAACGCGTGTGTGTGGAGGGGGCTGTGGGGGTCGAGGCTGTGTCGCTGGAGTGGGGTGTCTGGGGAAGGAGGGATTGCGCGCGCGTGTGTAGAAAGGAGGTGGGTAGAAGCTGGAGATGAGGCTGGAGAAGGGGTGTGGCTGTGTCTGGTTCCCAAACTGACTGAGCCGGAAAGGATACGTCTCTGCAAAGCGGGGGCTGATTGAGCCTGGACGCCAGGGTGGGGTGTGTGTGTGTGTGTGTGTGTGTGAGAGAGAGAGAGAGAGGGAGAGACAGAGTGAGAGAGAGAGAGAGAACGAGGTGTGTCACAGCTCCCACAACATGCGCAGGAGCCAGTGTGTGCGTTCGCTGCTGGGCAGGGTGCGCCCCCAGAGGTGGCTGGGGTTGGCGCTGTGGCGGCGGTGATAGGTGACCTGGCCCGGAGGGGTCCTGCGGGCCCCTGGTGGCCCTGCGCCCGCTGGGTTATGAATGGCGTCATTTTCGCCTCCACCCACCCTCCCCCGCTTTCCTCCTTGTCCCTGCCTGGCCTGCCCGGCCTGCTCTCCAGGGGAGAGAACAGCTGGAATGGCTCGGCCATCCCGGGAGCGCCTCCGCGGTCTCTGATTCAGCCCTGGGCAGGGCGTGCGCAGCGTGGTGGGGTCAGGGGAGAGGCCCTGTCCCCGCCTCTGTCAAATGAGTAGCTGAAGCTGGGTTTTAGTGGCTGGTTCTCTTAACCCACCTCCTCCCCATCCCTACCCTCACCCCCAACAT